GTGTTTCCATGTGCTGCTTCCCCCTGCAGCTCCCACTGTCAGAATCCAACTAATGGGAGCTATGAGAAAAGTGCTGGGAGTGACACCCGAAGACACGCTTGCCAGTGTCAGCTCCCAGGAGTGGTATGGCCGGGACTGCAATAGATAGGCTGACTCAGTGCCTCCGCTGAGCTCCAAAACATTTTCCCCCAATCCAGAGTGCCATCATGGCTGGAAGAAAATGTGGGATATGGGCTGTATTTTGCCCACCCCCTGCTCAACGGGACCAGCTGTTAGGGGTAAACAGGAGTAAGATTTGAGAGATGGCAGTTGGGCTCTAGTAACATGCAAGTAGAAACGGAAACTCTACATCTTAGCTGACTTTTTCGGAAGAAGCTTTTTTCAGAAGAGATCTTCCGAAAAACCTTCTTCCAAATGAAAGCGTCCGCACTGAAAAGTGCATCAAAAAAAGGATCTGCTTTTTCAAAAGAGCGCCCAGACTGAATGGACACTCTCTTCATGTAAGCTGTGATTGCTATGGATGGAATGGCCACCAGGGCACCTGTGCTTTTTCCTATCAACACTGGAAAAATGGAAGAATGCAATTGCAGTGTGGACATTCCTCAAGTTTTGTCGGAAAAATGGCTGTTTTTCTGACAAAACTCTGCAGTGTAGACATACCCTTTAAATTAACCTTCATATGTACCCTTATTCTGCATCGTGGGAAGAAGGTGATTCAGAGTTTGGATGGACCCTAGGGATTAGACTAAAGGAGGCAAGATTTGAATATTTGTTATTTGGTTTAAGATCCTTTACACCACAGTGCTGAATCTCCCACCGCTCAAAATCAAAATTAGAGTTGCAGGCTGCACTCTACAAAAATCCTTGGATCTGTTTTATTTCCCTGATTAAAAAGTGTGTGTGGGGAAGCTGGGGGGAGTGCGGGAAGAGGAAGATAACTTACATTTATACAATCATACCTGTACTAGTGGCAGAATTGCTTTGGCCTTCATCTGAATACTGACAAGGATACTGCAGAGGTTCATCAGCTCCTGGAAAGTACTATGTAGAAAGTAAATTGTTATGTATTAAGACAATTAATGCTTTCAGAAACGTACAGCAGCTATATAGATAACATGGACCTCAAATAGACCCTAGTTATATGAATGTAGCTAGAGGGAAAAAAAAAGGTAATTTGAGAATGCTATATTGTTTGACTGCTGCTAAAGAACGATCTGTAACAATTCAATTCTTGCTTTTCCATAATACTGCTCTGCATTCCCTCCACCCCAAAAAGCACACAAACCCAAACCTATTTTTATTAAGTGCCTTCAGAAAGATTTGTTATGCACTAAGAACAATGCAACATAATGGAAGCTTCTTACAGGGACATAAATCAGGCAACATCCAGTTTAATTTAGCATAAGTATAGAATGATACACATTCTATTCAAGTGTATGTATATGAGGGAGCTGTGTCAGGGAAAGTACAACAGCAGTTAAGAAGAGAGGATGGAACCTCATCTTGAAAGTGTTGTGAATAAATCCACGGTGACTTAATAGCACTAGTCCTTCAAACACTTCGGCTACGTCTACACTGGCCCCTTTTTCGGAAGGGGCATGCTAATTTTGAAAGTGGAAATAGGGAAATGCGCGGGGGATTTAAATATCCCCTGCAGATTTAAATAAACATGTCCGCCGCTTTTTTTCCGGCTTGGGGAAAAGCCGGAAAAAAAGCGTCTAGACTGGCCCGATCCTCCGGAATAAAGCCCTATTCCGGAGGATCTCTTAGTAGGAATCTCAAAGTAGGAATAAGAGATCCTCCGGAATAGGGCTTTATTCCGGAGGATCGGGCCAGTCTAGACGCTTTTTTTCCGGCTTTTCCCCAAGCCGGAAAAAAAGCGGCGGACATGTTTATTTAAATCTGCAGGGGATATTTAAATCCCCCGCGCATTTCCCTATTTCCACTTTCAAAATTAGCATGCCCCTTCCGAAAAAGGGGCCAGTGTAGACGTAGCCTTCTTGTTTAGCTTAGGTCATCTCTACATTATGAGATAAGTCAAATTTATTAAGGTCAATTTTTTAGCACCCAATTTGGTCAAGTCAGAGGTGCATGTCACCAGTGCAGGCAAGAATTTGCTTCAATTCAAAGTAGTGTGTCTCAGGGGGGTGACTACTGTCAACTTTGAGTGATGCACTGTGGGTAGCTATCCCACAGCTCCCGCGACCCTCTGCATTCTGGATTATGCTTGCAGTGAACAATGGGACCAAAACTGTGCAGATGGTTATGGGTACATATTGTCAGTGTCCCATAATGCACTAGTCTTTTCCTTCTATCCCTGCTTGAAAGTAATGGCAAATAGTCTCTTCATGCGTTTTTCCCCCTTGATTAGCCATGCATATGCTGAAGTATATCCAGAGTGTATTCAGGGTCCTCTGGGAAGAGGAAGAATCTCGGGATGTTACCAATATACTCCTTTGCAAAGCACCCGAGTTGAGCTACTGGCAAATGCTGCTGGCATTCGATCCTCTGGACACAGTGAAATGCCGGTTGTGGTGCCGTCTGAGAAGCACAGACCGGTGGGACCATAGTGGGCACGGGATGATCAGCAGTGGCTGAAACTTTCACATGTGTAAGGCCACTTTCAAGGAAGTTTGAGAATTGCTTTCCCCAGCCCTGCAGTGCAAGAACACCAGAATGAGACCCACTGTGACAGTGGAGAAGCAAGTGGAAATTGCCCTGTAGAAGCCTGCAACGCCAGACAGCTCCTAGTTAGATGGGAATCAATTCGGCGTGGGGAAATCTACAATAGGGGCTGTTAAGTATCAGAGGCGTAGCCGTGTTAGTCTGAATCTGCAAAAGCGGCGAGGAGTCCTGGGACACCTTATAGATTAACTGAAGTGTTGGAGCATAAGCTGTTGTGATTCAAGTAGCCAAGGCAATCAATACCCTTTTGCTATGGAGGGTAGTGACTCTGGGAAACATGGAGGCCTTAGCCGCAATGAGGTTCTTTAACTGTGGTGGGACACAGATGGAATACACATCCCTTTCTTGGCACCTGCCAAGAACTGCGAGGGGTACCTTCTTAATGGCGCTGCAGGCATTATGAGATCCCCAGAGCTGTTTCACTGACACAACATGGGAGGGTTAGGAAAGGTACAGGACGCACGCATAGTTAGGAAATCCTGCCTCTTCAGAAAGCTGCAAACTGGAACTTTCTTCCCAGACTGGAAAGTTACCACTGAAGGCACTGAAATGCCAATAGTGATCCTTGGCAACCCAGCTTCCCAGTTGATCCATGGCTCATGAAGTCTAAAATGGGCAGCCTGGACCACGTAAAGAGCAGTTCAACTATAGGTTGAGCAAGTGCCGAATGGTGGTAGAATGTGCTTTTGGATGTTAACACATCCCTAGGGATTGAGGCTGCCCTTATCTCCCGCCCTGTCATATTCTAGGGCCCCTAAGAGACGAAGCTATGGAACTCAGTTAGGAGCGAATGTGGTTCCTCGAGGGCTAGAGGGTCTGCCTGTGTAGGTAGCTATCTTGGAAGGCTGCCATGCGGTTCTTTATGGACTGGAGATACAACTTAGAAGAAAATATATAATACTGGTTCATGGAAGGCATATCTTCAAAAGTCAATACTGCAACATAATCCCTGTTAAATTATTTACAGATTAAAAGAGAAATTTATACCCGCATCAAATGTGTCATGATTTTGACAATTTCTTCCATGGAAGGTCGTTGTGAAGGATCCTTAGACCAACAACGAGTCATTAAACTCTCAATAGGCTTAGGTAAATTTTTGATCAGTGGTGGCCGGGTACCTATAATTAAAATCAGACAAATCTTAATTTATATATCAAGCTACTGTTTAAAGTTCTGTCATTGCCTGATTTTTTTTAAACAACCTACTTTGCTATTTAAAATAATTAAAGATTCATGGTAATCCTCTTGCTCTGTGGGGCCTAAATCAGAAGCCATGCAGCTTAGCAGGAACTTAGACCAGAATCCCATTTTGCTAGGTGAAGTTTAAACATAGAATGGACAGTCCTGACCCAAAGAATTTTATCTCAAACAAGAGACAATAGATGAAGAGAGACATGAAAATATGTAAACAAACAATGGATCACAACAAAGATAAAATGAGAGTTCTTCGCCCCATTAATTCACACATCATAATTACATGTAGACTGTGCTTACTGACTGTGCTAACAGACAAGAAAGAGAACCAAAAATGATCTGGTTTAGAAGAGTGCTTAAGATCAATGACAACAATCTATGAGGTCTCAAACTGGCACCTACTGAACAATGAATAATTTTTCAATTATGAAATATGTAATAGTGTTATATAACAAGCACACAATTTAACTTTAAATGCACCAAAATGAAAAATTATTTTCAACTCACCATTGTGAACTGCCCACATTATGCGGAAAGCAGGACCACCAATCTCATCAAAAGGTTTCCTACGGGTGATTACCTCCCAAAGAATGATACCCCAACTGAATACATCACATTTTTCACTGTAATTGCTACCTGAAAAAATATATATATATAATTTGTGTCTTTCCTACATGATATATGCCTATAAATATGTAGGAATAGCTATGTATGCTTTAATTTTATTTCAGAGTATAATATCTTTGTTTTTCACACAGAAAAGACAACAATCAATTCCATAAGAGACACATTTTTAAAAATTTCTAAGTCACCTAAGATACATTTAAAAAAAATACACCATTCATACTAAACACTTGTTTCGAGGTTGTAAAACCTCTTTTACTATAATTTTCAACAAGTTTCTAAGCGTTCTTTTTGCAAACTAGTTCCTTCACTGAAACTAACACACAGTGTTTAGGACAGTCTTATTGTTAAATATCAAATGTGATTTTATTATAATTAATCAGTCTCTCAAATGTAGAATAATTCCATTGTCATTTTGGCTACCAGTGCCTTTTGTAAATCTCTCTCTGAAATCACTTCTTCCGTGACAACAATAAATCAGTCATCAACACTCACCATCATCTCTATCATTTTTATTTAAAAACATAACTTCCTTAGCAGAACCACCAAGACTATCTTAAGAAATAATGTTATGTCATTGTACCCCTGTTTTCCACACCCCCAATGCCTACCTATCTATTATCCTCACTCATTCTGTCGTGCCTGAAAATTAGTTTTAAGTTCTCGAGGCTGAGATTTCTAGGCCTCCCATGAAGCATAAAGCAGACAATGTGTGATATAAAATAACGAATAATAAAGAGCAAAGGAGAAAAATACTTTGTTAGAGAAAGCCATAAATATCTTAAATAGACACAAATGGTAAACAAATTCAAGATGTAAAGTATATTTTTGTCTTCTCTGGTTGATAGCTGAAACAAAAATGATAGTAAGTACCTAAAGACAATCTATTCTGTTTTCTCATGAAACATATGGAAGAACCTAATAATTTAAAAAGTCACTTCTAGATAGCATTTCTTTACATAGGAAGACACCATTTTACTTCTAGAGATAGTATTGCGTTTATAGCACCTTTCCCACGCCTTACTTTAGAATGACATTTATTTCAAATTTAAATAATAAAGAAACACATCTGTGAAGCTATAGGAGCATTGACATTTAATACTGCAACAAAACCCAGCAGCATTAAAGTAATTATATCAAAAGGTATTATGACAAACTGCCATTAGTAAAACAAAAGCTTCTTTCTACTCTTTCATCATTCTAGTAAAAATAACTTCAGTTCTCTCCAAAGCCATATCAAATAGATATTTGAAAATTTAGAAATTATTAAGTATAGATAGGCTTAGGTTATCTTATTGTGGATATTTAATGTAGTAATTAAAATTAACATTGGTTAACGAAGTTGAATGAATTTTATTTTGAGGCATTAATTTTAAATTTTATATTTTCAAAGTATTTAATAATTCTGTGCAATTTCTTTCAATAATACCAATACAAATTTTGGGAACCAAAAGTATATAAAAATTCCTGTCCAGAAAACTTGATCGAGTTCTAAAATTGGGAAATTTTAAATTAAAATGTTACATGTTCCTACTTAGTTGAATTTACAGACTGGAGAGCCACTAACAAGTGGACGGCTTAACATTTTCACTGAAATTCCTGGAAATAGGCAGGCTTAAATGTAGTCCTTATTCTGCTTTTAATAAAAATCAGATCTTCAACTTTTTAAAATAAAAATAAAAGCTAACGTTGTGGTAAGTGAACATTTAGAATAAGTTTTGGCCAATATTTAAAGTGAACTACACAGTATAACCAGGACAGTTTCTAATAAACTGGTACTTAGAGCAACTGAAATAAAATTGCCAGTTGTAGGAGATAGATCAAGGACTGGCCTACTATGGCAACTTATCTAGAAGATGGATATATTTATAATTTAGGTTGAGATATAGCTACATTGGACAAGGATGTTAAACAGATCCCTGAGCAATGAAGCTTTCTTGACCTAATCCCAAATGTAGATATAGCTATGTTGATAGAGGAATGCTTCCGTTGACCCAAATATCAGAAGATGGCATGTCAGCACCAAAGGAAAAAACTTTTTCCATCAGGATTATGGTGACGTACACATGCACCTACACACCAGGATTATGGTGATGTAGCCATGGCGATGTCAGGCTGTGTCTCTGCTGGCAAGGTTTGGTGACAGAAGTGAGGCCGACAAGCAGGAGTTGCCATAACTGGAAACCTGTCAAACTATTTTTTCAGGTACCCGCAGTTGTCAAGTATAATCTCAAGTATATATATTCTAAATCAGTGGTACCCAACGCGGTGCTCGTGGGCAACCATGTCACACGCTGGGCCATTTCTGTGCACTCGCTGAGTGATCAGGGCCAGCCCCTACCCCGGGCACATAGTGCATGGGCAGCGCCGCCCCCCGGGGTGCATGGCGCATGGGCTGTGCTGGCACCGGGCACGCGGCACGGACCCTGGGCGTGCGGCACAGGCATGGCGCTGACCCCGGGTACGTGGCACAGGGGCGGCGCCAGCCCCGGGCGCACAACACATGGGCGGCCCCGGGGTGCATGGACTGTGCTGGCCCCGGGTGCACGGCGTATGGGTGTCCCTTCCTCTGGGCATGCCATGCAGGAGCGGCGCCAGCCCCAGGCACGCAGCACGTGGGTGATGCCAGCTCCTGGGCGTGCGGCACAGGAGTGGCGCCGGCCCCGGGAGTGCAGCGCATGGGTGTCACCGGCACTGGGCACACAGCGTATGGGTGCCTAGGCTTCATGCTGCTCCTCTGGAGCAGCAGAGAAATGCCTCAGGAGAAGCACAATGCCTCAGGAGAAGTACAACCTGCAGTTTTTAGTCGGGGAGGAGGGAGAGCAGCAGCGTGTAGAGCTGCTTCCTACTCCCCTGCCAGAGTCCATACCCCGGGGCTGTGTCTACACTGGGCCACTTATTCCAGAAAAGCAGCCGCCTTTCTGGAATAACTTGAAAGCTGTCTACACTGGCCGCTTGCTTTCCTGGAAAAGCAATGCCGATCTACTGTAAAATTGTCAGTGCTTTTCCGGAAAAACTATGCTGCTCCCGTTCGGGCAAAAGTCCTTTTCCGGACTTTGGGGCTTTTTTCTGGAAAAGCGCGTCTACATTGGCCACGGACGCTTTTCCGGAAAAGCATCCTGCCAATGTAGACGCGCTTTTTCCGGAAATACTTATAACGGAAAACTGTTCCGTTTTAAGCATTTCTGGAAAAGAGTGCCAGTGTAGACACAGCCCCGGTGTTCCTGGATAAGGGACACCCAGAGTAGAGGATCAAGTGTATTATCAATCTAATACCTTCCTGGAGAACTTAATTCACTACTGAAACCTCTAGGGAAAAAAACAAACCAACCAAAAAAGCAGTCAAAAAAGCAGTTATGAACATCCAAAATTAAACTTTTAATGAAACTTTCATTCCCAGAGGGCAAATTCAGCCCAAGTTACTCACAGGTCTCAAGGCGTCTGATGTGCATAATGACTGAGCAATCCCCCATTTAATTACATAGTAATTAAACAAATCCTTGTCTTTTTATTTTATATTATCATTGAGCTCCCACATGAGATGCCAACAAATAACTTTGATTAACCTCCCCACTTAACTATTAAATACAAATTACAATTTTTAAAACTGAATTATTTATAGGATCAGAGAAGAAAAGATGGACTAAATTTCAAGGGATAAGGAAGAGAAGGCAGGTATTGGGAAAAATGGGACTATGTTGAATTGTAAGGTAGGTAGGGACCAAAAAGAGGTGGCTATGCTTGCTGGACACAGGTGGAGAATTCTAATGACCACAGTAAATCAGAATACTGTGTGGACAGAATCAAAGCACATTTCAGTGCAGTAAGAATTGGGGATTATTTTGTGATCTCAGAAATGATATCTCAGGATGGTAATGCCAAACAAGATACATAATTTACTGTTATTCATAATTTACCATTATAGTCTATTCAGTTTTGTCACTGCAAACTCCAGGTATCAAACTATCCCCATTTGTTTGTATTCCTTTCCTAAACATACTGGTACAGCAGTCTTTCCCTCTAGTAAATTAAGGATTTCTTTCCTTAAGTTATTTTTAATCTAAAATTCATTTATTTAATTATACAATTTTATAACACAACAGAGACAATGAATGTAAATGAAGCTCTCAACTGATTTCTTATATCAACTCATTCAAAATAATGTTCTTAAGTAGAGTAATACATGTGAAACTGTACATTATTTTGTTACCTTCAAAAACTTCAGGTGCCATCCAAGCAGCACTTCCCTTATTGTTGGTCATGTGTGTTTGAATATCACAGGCTGTACCAAAGTCACAGATTTTTAGAACTGTCCCCCCAGCTACCAACAGCAAGCTGTCAAGAAAATCCCAAATGTTTAACAGAATTTAGAAGTCTTATCAAAATAATAAAACATTATTTTATTCCAACAACTTTTATTTAAGGCCTGCTTAAATGTATACTATAATAATGTATACTAACACGGCAGAATTTGCTCATCTAAGTATAACATTACCTTTAAAAATTACTATAGTATATCAGTAGGTTGTGACTTGCTAATTATGATAAACTGAATTTTAATTTTAGTCTTTACAAGTATAAACTGAAACCTGTAGTCCAGCATCCTTGGAACATGACCAGTGCCAAACGAGAGAGTTTACCAAATCATGTGAGATTAATATGGTCTAGCAGCATTACCAACACTTCCCATGCTTACTGGGCTCTTAGAAGACATTTTGGGGTAAATCAGAGCTAAATTAAGCAAAGAACACTGAGAGCAGGACTGGTGGTTGTAAAAAAAAAAAAAAACCACTTTACTGTGAGAATCTTGGCCACACCCATGGAAAGTGGACAGCCAGCTAACTAAAATAATGCCAGACCAGAAAGTGCTGGACTGAAGAGGTTCAACCTTTACTTTAAGTATGTAAGAAAACAGTTTATTTAGGCATAATTACTTCAATCCACTAAGCACACAATGGAGACAAAATTTGTAATTTATCATAAACATTTAACATAGGCTCTGCAGACAGGCGGTCAGCCATCATGGCTGCTATCTTGCCAGGTGAATAATCAGAACTCCCATTAGGGATAGTCAATGAGGCTTTTTCTTCAAATGGAAGGGTCACTATTGACCATGTGCTCTAGTACCTATGGAGCTGTCTACGTCTAAGGTCTACTTCTAATTTCCCCATTCGGCTAACCAAGTTTCTGCTAAAACAGACTTCACCCGTTATATGGGGCAAAAACAGGCTTTATGTTTGCATAACATGTAGTGGTGAGTACATGGTTAATGGAACACAAGACAATCAGCCTTTCTTGATTGTCTAACTGAAATTTAAAACGTGGCTTTTATTTAGATTCAATTATTTGTATCTAAAAATACAATTGATCAATGAAAGTTTTCCTCCAAATTCAATGGAAGTAACAGGATAAAGAGAAATCACAAATTGCAATTTTAAGAACAAAAAGTTTAACACTAACTAGAAACATACTTTGGCGGTTTCAGGTCCCTGTGAATTAGAGCTTTTGGTTTCATGCTGTGGAGATATGCCACACCTTGGGAACACTGTAAACACCAACTCATTGCATGTGCAGCAGTATAATAAGGTAGAGGCTCAGCGCCATGCAGTACTGCAAAACAAAAGTACAAACTAAAAAGAACTTTATTGCTTATTACCATAGAAACAATGAAATTAACAACATTTCATTAACAAGCTCTATGAAATTCAAATAGTTAATCAGAGAATCATAGAATTGGAAGGGGCTTTCCAGTCCCCTGCACTCATGGAAAGACTAGCTATTATCCAGTTATTTACTCTCATTCTTTAGCACTGCTCTTGAAATCTTTTATATACAATTTAAAAAATGTAAATTGCTATTAATCGAAGTTACCTGAATAATGATTTCCTTTTTAAAATGGTACTTGGTTCATTAGTAAATATTTATATACAAATTCTGCCATTTAATGGCTATTTATATAATAATGTCATTAATTTTCAGCTGTATCCAGTGTAGCCTGTATTAAGTAACTACTCAAGGAATTGATGGTCACTTTAAGTCAGAGGTTTTTACAGGGAAAAACGAAAGGAGTCAGAATTTAATTCGTGTATTTGTACAAATAATCATATGGTTAAAATGTTTTTGAACTATTCTTGCTATAGAGTTTTATATTTTGAAAAAAGGTTTTCTTAGCACTTCAGCTGCAGGGAGACACGTTTAAATGATACTCACCATTATATAGAGAACCTCCTTCAGCATACTCCATAACAAGACACACCTTTGGGGAAGGAGACAAAATATAGGGATGTTTTAAAGTGCAGTGTAAGGGAGGGCAATAGGTTTTGTAATTTGAAAGGATTTTTTTTTTTAAAAGAGGAACTGCAAAGTTTCCATAATTGTCACATTTAACTATAAGATGCAGAATTAAATTGATACTTAGATCTCATTAAAGGTTAGGAAAGAGGAGAGGATGCATCACTGTATAACCTTTAAGGCTAAGGTTGCCTTCAAATTACAATTAGAATAAATTTACTGGGAGAGTGAATTAGAAAAGATTAACAATTAAAATTGCAAGTTTTTATTAGAACTAAAACCAATAAATTATTTAACCAATTTAATATCCCAGATCACTAGTAATGTCAGCCTATCATGTTGTGAATTCAAGAATTCATGTTTGTCCTCTTATAGTGCTTGCTACATCACCCGAGGCATTTGTGAGGTCATCAGCTATTGCAGGGCAAAAACAGAATCCTGATTGACAGTAAGTGAAAAGGAACTGATTTTCATAGAATCATAGGACTGGAAGGGACCTCAAGAGGTCATCGAGTCCAGCCCCCCGCCCTCAAGGCAGGACCAAGCTCCATCTAACCTGTTCTTAAATATCTCCAGAGAGGGAGATTCCACCACCTCCCTTGGCAATTTATTCCAATATTTGACCACCCTGACAGTTAGAAATTTTTTCCTACTGTCCAATCTAAACCTCCCCTGCTGCACTTTAAGCCCATTACTCCTTGTCCTGTCCTCAATCATGTGCACAATCATTTCTGTAGAAGCAATTTGGAATCAATATGAGGACTGCACATCTATGAAGTCACATACATGTATATATACCACACTAATTTCTTTGCAATTAAAAAAAAAAAATCAGCCTAGGGAGTAAAAAATGGACAAATGAAATGTGAATCAGTTTTTAGAGGCTACCCACTGGGTAATTTAAAAAAAAAAAAAAAAAAAAAAAAAAGCTTAGAAAAATCAACCTATGAATAAGAAAACCAGGAACCATTTTAGAAGCACAATACTAAGGTGGGTATGTTGGCTGAATATATATCTTGCATTACTGTTTGATTATAGTGAGGATTACACTTACTGGATTCAGACAGGCTCCATATAACTTGACAATATTAGGATGGTTCACACGTGACAACTGTCGAAGCTGCAACACAAAAGTTCACCACCATTTTTCAATCATAAAAAAAATTAGACTACCATTTGGTTACTTATACACAGTTAATTAAAATAACCCAAACACTGGCCTAGAACTTGAGAGTCCTGAAACCTTGGCTCTGCTACAGACTTTGTGCATGACCTTGGAAAGACAAATCATAAATTCTCTGGTGGCTCAGGTTCCCATCTGTAAAATGGAGAGAATAGCACTTTCCTGTCTCATAAGAGATTATATTAGCAGGAAGACCTATTAAAATGGCTCCAAAATTGTTATGATTCTCAATCAACATGCATAATTAAAAATGTTAAGTAAATAATAATGGAGTCACATGCTTCAAGGCTAGCATGTAAGCTGCAGATCATTCACATTCCAAATACAGAAATGCACAAATAGATATGACATTCTGAGGATTTTGCACTCCTCTAAGGTTGCCAGATGGTTTCAACAAAAATAGCGGACACACTTGACATTACATCATAAACTACATTACATATTATTTAGAAAATCCAGGACATTTATATTTTCTCAATTTGTTTCCCGAACACAAAGCTCAAATACTAGACTGTCTGGTTCAAAACCGGACACCTGGCAACCCTACACTCCTCCTCTAGCACTGTTTATTGCCCATAGTTGGAGGCAAGAATACCTGACTTCAGAGACAAATGTCCTGAATCACTGCAGAAAATCTTCTGCGCAAAATGCTTCCTTTTGCATTAAAGAGAACTAATGTCCACAAAAATTAACTATAAAATAAATTCTAGATGTTAACACTTATGCCAGCCAGTCATTTGCTTGTAGCAATTGATAGTGGGCATGTGTGGATTTCTACATCTGAAAAAATTGAAAACTATTTTTTATTTTGCAAGCTGACAGAAAAAAAAATCAAAGTAGGAAGATTTAGCTTTCACACAGATTTTTGGGAGAGATTTTGTAGCACCCTCTGAATTTCACTATCTACTCAACAAACACATTTCTAGAAATTATATGTTTGTGTGAGTATGTATTTTTATATATAAAAATATAATCTGAAGTGATACTGAACAGAACTGAACCGAATCCACACAGTGCAAAAAAACCAAACTAACAATATCCTGAAACCAATTCAAAATAAAGCATTTATGAGGAGTCTTTCTTCTTAGATTCTCTCTCATAAAACCCAATAAAGAGACCTTACCATTCAACAATGTTTAGATTTATGTAAATGTTATTCAGCTCTCACATACTTGGCAATGAGTGCAGTATAGTTACACAGAGATGTATTAAAATACTTTTTAGTCATAAAATGTTACTATGGTTGAAGGAACTTCAAGGATTTAATCCTATTTTGTTTCATATATCCTGGGCACCCTAGACTCTCATCTACTATGCTTTAAATGTGAACAGAACTATAATATAATGAATTTCATGGCTGTTATGGACTATAAACATTCAGTCCTAGAATATTTTCTCTCTCTTAGCACTTCACACATTTCTTAAGTACCTATATCTAAAAAAGATGAGGAATGGAGAAAATGAGGGGTTTATTCTCAAATAAATGAGTTACATGTACTTTCTTCTAGATTTTTAAAATAATTAAAAGTCAATTCGTATATTAATGGAAACAAAACATTTCACACCATGACTCCTCCTCCCAATCTTAACCAATATTGGATGAAGAATTTCATAACCTCTTTGTCTCTCTACAAAGATTAAATGAGCTAGAGCGGCATAAAGAAGTTCTAAACACCCCACAATCTGGCTGGCAAGGATTCCTGCAATGCAGGAACAGGAGAAAACAGCCAGAGGCAAACTTCAGAGAACCTTCTTAAAAGTTCTGGTGGAGGAGGCATGGCCAGGGGTAGGGTATGTCAGTGGAAGGACATAGCACATTACTAGTTTGGGGGTGAGGGAGTAAAATTTATTTTCAAGCAAGCTTACAGTACCTCCACAATGAATGCCTTTCTTTCAGATTCACTTTCTATTTGTTTAATGGCTACATCTTTTCCTCGCCATTTTGCCTTGCAGACCACACCAAAGGCTCCTCTTCCAACAACCTAGATCAAGATAGCAAGGAACACTGTAGCTAAGAAAACAATTTCAGCTTCTTGGTAGCACTTCACAAATATTTAAAGAAACATACAGTATCAAAAATTAGAGTAAAGAAATCAGACACATGAAGTTTATAACAGAGCTTTAGTTTCGTCAAGTCATAAAGTACATCTTATATCTACTAATTCTACGGCTATGCTCATAAATGACATGTTCATAAAAAAACAAGCTACATGCATTAAATACTTTTTCAAATGTATATGTAATTTAAATATTTAAGAAGAAATGTGACATTACTTATTTCACACAAGATCTAGTCAAAAAGAACCCAGGAAAAAAAGCAAGAATAGTTGTTTTCTGCTTATTCTTTTCTTCATCCTTCCCATGAAATGTTTACGTTAAAACTTGGCCTGGGAAATAGTATAATCTTACTGCATATATTCCTGCTTATTAGTTATACAGAGTTTGAGCTCTAGAATAAAAGTACATTAACACATCTATTTTAGCACTATGACAAAGCACGGCAGAACAGTGGTTCCCAACCTTTTGTATAACCCAGACTGGCAAACCCATTCAAAAACTTTCGGCAGACTGGTATCATTTTCTTTGTATATTCATTATACAAATAATGAATATGCAAATATAATTTTACCATACACCAAAAGCTCCATCCCCCAGAGCTGCCACGAAAAGCTGGCTTCAGCTCCGCCAGAACCCCACTTTGCCAGAACCCCATTCCTTAAGGCTTAGAGCACCACCACCACCAGACCCTGCCCCCCCATTCCAGCCTCCCATTTTCAGAGCCCTGTTTCTACCCAACCCCTCCAATGCCCCACCCGTGCCAGCCATCAATATTAGCAGCATCCTCATACCCACCAGTGCCAGCCCTGCCTCTGTAGCTGCCCACTACTAGCCCCACCAGAGCGCCACAGTTCCAATTCCCCACCTGGATGCCCTGATATACTCCAGTGTCAGCGCCCTGCCTCTTAGAGCCCCCAACTCCTTAAGACAACCCATAATTCAGCAGCCCAAGAGCCGGGCAGAGAGAACTGGGAGAGAAGAAGGACGCTGCTTGGAGTGACCCACGTGGGACTTGGGCAGAAAGTGGCCAGTCCCAGCATGTGGGGAGCAGTTGCACAGGGATTAATGGCTCGGTGTTTGCCCAGCTGTGGTGCTGCGCAGGAGAATCGTGCCACCAAGACTCCGGGCCCGGGTTGAAGCTGGTGGCTCCCGGGGCTCCTCTACTGGTCAGCGAAGGGCACAGTCAGGGTGGCCAGCAGCAAGGGAGGCCCGTCACCACTTCATGGTGTGGTGAGGTGAGGCGGGATCCGTGTTTGGTACGTGTGAGGTTGGCAATGTGGCTCCAGCCTCCCTCGCAGCACTGAAGGTTTGTCCTGTGACAGCTTTCCCTGCACATCAACTTCGGGCTGCCCTCACACTGCACTCTTCCCTGCCTGCTGACATGACCCCCTCACCTCACTTCCCCGCAGCTCCGGCTCTGGCCATGTGGTCTGTCACTCCAGCTCTGGCCCTGACTGGGGACGCTGCCTGCCATGTGACTCTCAGCTTAGCTACCCTCAACCACCATTCAAAATTAACACCTGCCTCCCACCCCTCTGCAGTATATCCCAGCCTCCTGGATTACCGCTTTCTGCTGGTGCCAGCTAACACAGTTAAACCTATAACTCAAGTGGCAGGAATTTGTGATGCAGTCATGAAGGCCAAGGCTTCAAAAGCTATGCATGTTGGGGTGTTATTACAGTTACATACAACGGAATCTGATTTTACCATTCGGATTAAAAAGAAAATTATAAACAAAAATGAATTTTATTTAAGTTGCAAAGAAATCAAACACTACAAAGCATTTTGAAAGTCTAAGAAAGTCTTCTACAGAAGAGTTATTTTTAATACAGGCAGTCCCCGAGTTACGCGGATCCGACTTATGTCGGATCCGCAGTTACGAACGGGGCTTTTCTCGCCCCGGAGGACAGGGGCGGCGGGACTGCAGCGCACCTGGGCGTCCCTCTGCTCCAGTCCTCCGGGGCGAGAAAAGCTGCTCCACATCTCCCTGGTCTGCTGGGGGGAAGCCCCCCAGCAGACCAGGGAGATGTGGAGCAGCTTTTCTCGCCCCGGAGGACAGGGGCGGCGGGACTGCAGCGCACCTGGGCGTCCCTCTGCTCCAGTCCTCCGGGGCGAGAAAAGCTGCTCCACATCTCCCTGGTCTGCTGGGGGGAAGCCCCCCAGCAGACCAGGGAGATGTGGAGCAGCTTTTCTCGCCCCGGAGGACAGGGGCGGCGGGACTGCAGCGCACCTGGGCGTCCCTCTGCTCCAGTCCTCCGGGGCGAGAAAAGCTGCTCCACATCTCCCTGGTCTGCTGGGGGGGGGGGGGGCCCCCCTTCTCCCCCAGCAGACCAGGCTTTTCTTGCCTACGCCTGGGGTAGAGCAGCTGGGGCGCTGCCGGGTTGGTCCCGCAGCGCCGCTCCTCGGCGCTACTGAACCAACCCAGCAGCACCCCAGCTGCTCTGCCCCGGGCTTCCTGGAATCAGCCGCTGATCAGTTTCAGCAGCAGCTGACTTGGGGACGCCTGGGTTTCTTAAGTTGAATCGGTATGTAAGTCAGAACTGGCGTCCAGATTCAGCCGCTGTTGAAACTGATCAGTTTCAGCAGCGGCTGAATCTGGATGCCAGTTCCGACTTCCATACAGATTCAACTTAAGAACAAACCTACAGTCCCTATCTTGTACGTAACCCGGGGACTGCCTGTAGTTCACTTTCTTGCTGAAAAGGCTCTTGCAAACATCAGCACAGGATGGAGTTACAAAGTTTGGTAATGTACTATGATAACTCAGAAGTTTGTTTTTATTGGTCAATTTAAGAAAAGATGACACAGTGCCCATTTAATTATAAATGACTTGTGGACAAATTCTGCAATTCAGACAGTGAATTTGCATATTGTGTTAGTTATGGTTAAATCTGACTTGTAAGCACATTCATCACCAGAGTACCTAAATATTTACATGCAAGCTTCTAAGACTAAATAAATATGCTTCAACTGAGGAATTATTAAAACATTTGCCGGAAACATAATTAATCATGTAGTTAAGAACGGAAAAAAGGAAACTTACCTTCTGATTGTGCATAATTCAACAAGTTTTACTGTGTGCCAAAAACTCACTATAAAAAGGGTCTAGTGCAGTGGTCTCCAACCTTTTTAACGACAAGATCACTTTTTCAGTTTAAATGCACTGTAAGATCTACCTTAAGCCCAAATACCCATCCCACACTTCTTTCGAGGCCCTGCCCCTGCCCCATCCCTTCTCTGAGGCCTCACCCTGCTCACTCCATCTCCCTTCCTCTCCCAGCCTCACTCACTTTTACCAGGCTGGGAAAAGGGTTTGGGGTGCAGGCTCTGGTCTTGGGCAAAGGGGTTCAATGTGTGAGAGGGGCTCCGGGATTAACCCAGGGTGGGGGATTGGGGTCCAGGAGAGGCTTCAGGGTGCAAGCGCTAGGAAGGAGTTTGGGTGCAGGGGAACTCATGTCTGGAGCAGGAGATTGGATGCAGGAGGTGGTTCAGGGCTGGGACAGGGGTTCAGGATACAGGCTATGGCTGGGCACCATTTAATTGAGATGGCTTCCGGGTGGTGGAACAATGAAGTTAAGGCAGCCTTACTCCTACCCTGGCCCTGCAGCACTCCTGAAAGTAGCTGGCATGTACAGCAAAGGCGCCATGTGGTGCCCCTCATCTACAGGCACTGAGTCCACAGCTTCTATTGTCCATGGTTCCCCATTATCAATTAATTGGAGCTGCAGGAGTAGTGTCTGCAGGCAAAGACAGCATATGGAGACCCCCTGCTCTGCCTTTCTCAGGGGCTGCAGGGAAGTGCCAGCCATTTTCAGGATCAGCAATTACCATGAGGATAATTACTGCAGCCACGACAGGTTAGGCATTTTAGAACTCACTACTCAAAGAATTACATTTAAGTGTAAGAGAGAAATGAAAATTATGAAATGCATACTGACCAGTCAAAAACCAAAACTAACACAATTTGCAAGCAGTAACAGAAGCAAAAACAAGAACCCACATATATGGATTGGGTCAGGAGATGAGAGTGAAGGACAGTGTATGTGAGAGTAACAGAGACACACGCAGTGTGAGAGAGTGACAGAAACTTGCATTGCCAAACACCCTCTATTCCCTTCTCTCTGTATGGAGATGGGGTACAGGAGAGGGGGCAGGGGAACACTGTGACATCTGTGTCCTCTCCCCCTTCCACACCCTGCACAGCAAGCAAGAGGATCTGGGGGTGGGAAGTACAGCACCAAGATAAAGGACAGGAGCAGCAAGCAGTGGGTGGAGGGGAAACTGAAGTGCTAGCGCTTGATACTTCCCGCCAAATTGGCCAGGATCACCTGTCAGAGGCTCCAAGATCTACCTATAGATCCCGATCTACTGGTTGCTGACCACTGGTCTACTGGAAAAGGAGGATACATTTTAAAAGGCAGACTTCTTTTAGTAAGTAAGCCCAGCTAATGGCTTTGGAGAGGTCAGTGTCAAGAGCCAACACAAAGTCCTCCAGATTCTTTTAACAGTCACAATGGAGAACCAGGAGAGGCAGTCAGAGAAATATACAGCATCTAACAAACTACTGAATGACAATATACAAGATCAGTTAGGGTATTAAAACCATATGTCACCATTTTTTATTGCTCCTAGTACTGAACCATAAAACTAATGCCTAGGCTTCAGCTCAAAGTAAAACACACAGAGGCATTGCCAGAGATAAAGGAGTGACCACTTTCAGGTTCACATTAAAAAGACATACTTTTAGTCTCTTGGTCAGCCATTTTAACAGCACAAGAGAGAAGCATTGGCCACACTTTCATTTCTTCACATTGATTCCTTCATATCTCCTGCTGCTGGTAAAACTATATGGGTTTGGACAATCACACACATTCTCAATTTACATGAACCCCACATTATTGATTTGTTACTTCAGTAGTTCCAG